CAGTACCACTGCTCCACCCATATCAGCAGCAAAAACATGTTTTAGACCAAATGTTACAGATTTGAACAAATACGCACAAAAACATCAAAATTAGCAGAGAAACAGTACTATATAACATTTTAGACACATTCTAGACAGTTTATCAGCTAAAAAAAGTTAATTTTGGGGTAAGTTACTGTTTAAAATGATTGGATCAGTTGACAGTGATGCATGTGTGCCAGCTCTGTGAAGGAGGCTAAGCTAAGAAGCTAACAGAAATAGTGTGCTGTAAACAACCCTACTGAGAGGAGAAATATACGGAGCTGAACCAGATGACTGTAAATGAGAGCTGCTGCTTTGTCAGACACATTTATTTTAACTTGAAGCCTTATCAACACAGACTGGCTTCATTCACTTCCTCCACTGCCGTATGCTAAAATAACAAGCAGACACTGAGCAGAACATCAACYTCGTTCAAAACTCCTCCTCCTGTTCTCTGATTGGCTCAGGTAAAATTCTCCTGATGACATCCTTGTCTATGGGAGGAGTCCCAGACGAAGCAGAGAAGGAAACTAGGATTGAGCAGAACTGTGTAGAAGGTGAGGGCCAGGCTGGGTTATTATAATAATTAAGTATTCTGAAATCCTTATTACATACTTTAAAAGTAATTATCTGGTTACTACTATGGTAGCTGCTATTTTTATGCAACTATTAAACAGGTTTCAACTGATAATTACTTGTAGTAATGTAGTAGTTACCTAACATTACATTTGTATAGACAGTACTGTAGTAACTACAAATACTAAATAAATGATTTTTAAAGGTAAATACCTGGTATTACTGTGGTAATTATCTAATAACACAATAATATTTTACGTATCTCAAGTGTTTTTAGGTCTGATGGTTTAAATGGGTGGTTACCTTGGTGACCAGTAAGTGATGCAAGTAAACAAACAACAGCAGGCGACAGTTAGTCTGTCTGTTCGACAAAAACACAGAAAGTTCAACATCTGAAGACCAAGGAGATGTCTTACCTCGTTAAGCTGTCCAATCAGATTAATTAGTTAACGAGCAGCATGGAGGGGATCAGGAGACAAGAGTCATCAGTGACGTGCTCAGCTGCTCAACTGCAGCAGGTTTTATATTAAACATCACAAATCAATGACATCGTCGACACAAGTTCAACATGTTGGAGCTCAGAATGAGAGAAACAATGTGTTGACAGAAAACAGTCCTTCACTCTGTAAACCAAGCTTCAAAAAGACACTTTTACAAATTAATCAACTTTCTTTATGTTGGAGGATCATTCCAGTTCCTCCATAACGTTAGAACCTGCAGTCTTTACATCGATGTGCTGAGTGATGAGCACAGAAAGAAATCAGAAGAAGAGAAAACAGCATCCTGGACAGAAGCATCCTGAGAGCTGCTCCAGTTAGTGATCGGGTCAGAACCGTGGTCATTAAGCAGACGGACAGGAAAAACTCCTCTCCGCTAACTTTCTGCAAATGGAGGGTGAAAACACTCCAAGTGTGGACTCAGTATGTATAATGGATCAGCCCTGAGGGCAGGCCGCGAGCAGGACCCACACCATTCACACACAGATACACACACACACCTGTGCACACACACAGACACACATTTAAACACAGAGATACACAAACCATTCCCAGCTCTGGCCCATTAGCTGGAGGGGAGATCTATAATGTATGTGTGTGTGTGGATGGGTTTGTGTGTGTGTGAGTGTGTTCAGGTAAGTAACATCCATTAGTAACTTTCTTAGGATGAAAATGGGTAAACACACACACACGAACACACACACAATCTTTATTGGCTAGATTTCTGCTGGTTTCCGTTACAACCGTCTTCCTCCCTCAGTTGAAAAGTTAGACACAGTTTGGAAATCCACTTGGAGGGTTAGAACCTCCTCAGGGGGCAGTTGGAGAGCATAAACACTGTTTGGGGGCTTTTTGGAATGTTTCTGATTGTTAGGGGGCATTTGGGGAGTTAAAGACCATACAGGGTCTTTGAGGGTTAAGGAAAATCTTGGAGAACAGTTGAAAGGTTAAAGGCTGGTTGGGGGCATTTTGGAAGGTTAGGGACCATTTGGAGGACCTTTAGTATGAAAAAGACAATTTTGGGGACCCTTCAACAGTTTATTACCACCCTGAATGTGTCAGATATTCTCTGATCTCAGAAGCTAAGCAGGGTGGGGCCTGGTTAGTACTTGGATGGGAGACCACCTGGGAATACCAGGTGCTGTAAAACCAAGTAGGAGTTGTGCCCACATTGGAAAAACTTGCAAGCGTAAACCTTTGACCATAGCAGGTCACCTTCTGAACGAAGCCAAAGGAAAAAAAACTGTTGAAGATTGGTTGGTGGACCATCTGAAAGGTTAAAGACTGTTTGGCAGACACTTGGAGGGTTGAAGACCAGTCACAGGTAACTGCACCACAGGGGTACTCTACCCTCTCCACCTCCTCAATATTCTGCACTTCAGTGTGTGTTTGTGGGTCCTCCTCACCTCGTACTCCTCCTTGAAGCCATAACCCTCGGCACATTTCATCTGGGTGATGTGTTGCAGCAGGTCGGCCACGCGGATGGCCGGATGCAGCTGTCCTGTCTGGTAGGGCAGAGCCTCCCTCTCCGACTCCCGCTGCTTATAGTGAGACTGGACCAGGCTACTGGTTTCACTGGTCATAGTGTGACTGTCATCTGGAGGACAAACAGAGATGGACAGAAACCTATCAGACTAAACAGCAAACACAAGCTGAGGGGGTCATTATGGACTGGACCAGCTTAAACCAGACCAAACCAAGATGGTTTTAAGAAAATATTCAATCCAATCATGTGTGTGAGCTGCGGAAGCTCTGAATCACATCTGACATGTTGACAAGTCAGTTTTTAAACGCTTCTTCACTTTTAGTTTCATTCTGGACAGACTGAACAGTTTTAGAGTCCAACAGATGTACAGCTGGTTCTTTTTCATCACAGTTTGATGGAAACATCTTAAATCTCCCCGACTCTGGACTCTTGTACTGGTTCTACAGAAACCAACACCCTAACCTTTGGCAGCATGATGGATTAGTGGTCAGCACTGTTGCCTCACCAGAGAAAGGTCCTGGATTTGGGCCCCTGGGTTTGGACCTCTGGATTTGGGCCCCTGGGTTTGGAACCCTGGGTTTTGGGTCCCTGGGTTTGGGCCCCTGGGTTTGGACCCCTGGGTTTTGGGTCCCTGGGTTTGGGGCCCTGGGTTTGGACCTCTGGWTTTTGGACCCCTGGGTTTGGATCCCTTGGGTTTGGACCCCTGGGTTTTGGACCCCTGGGTTTTGGGCCCCTGGTTTTGGGCCTCTGGGTTTGGATCTCCTGGGTTTGTGCCCCTGGGTCTGTGCCCCTGGTTTTGGCCCCTGAGTTTGGCCCCTGGTTTTGGTCTGGGGTCTGTCTCCGAGGGGTTTTGTGGTCTCATGTTTGGTTGGTTAAATGAAGGTAACCATCGAACACCCTGAGGTATAAAATATAAAAATCTGAAGTAATTGTTTCCAACTCTGTTGTTCAAACAAACAGAAGATCAAGCTGAGAAACATCTGTCCAAAATAAAACCGTCCAATCTGTCTAATGACATCGTCTGGTCCACATCCATGCCTACCAGGTTGTTACCATGACAACACAAATGAATGACATCACATAACTTCAAGTCACATGTCTGAAAAAGAGGATGATGATGGTTTCTTTTCAAGCTGCAGCCAGGAAGGACCTGATGCTCAGCAGGAACCTTCAGTCCCAGGTTGTGGTTCTGACTGACGCAGACAGAGTTCTGGTACAGAATGACTAGATTACTGATCCGGGTCTAGTTCAGATCCAATACAGCAAGGTTGCCAGGTACTGGCCAGGGTGAGTACACCACAGCTTAAGTGCTTGTCCAGAACTGGTCTAATCTGAGGTTCTGGGTTAGAACTGGTTCTTAGAGCTGCAGCYTGAAAGGAGCAGAGTTCAGAGTCCTGGAAAAGAACAAATTCTCAGATTCACCATCCAGGACTCCGACAAGAACATTTCAGCAACGACACGGCGGACAGACCTTCCACTACATTCTCTAACTCTGTTCTTATTGGACTAGCCTGGGGGCTGACTGACCAATCAGAAGCTCTCTATCTTAAACAGCCCAACCAGTCATGGTGAGAAGATGTGCGATGAAGGTGGAGGCGGTGGTCTGTGATTGGATGAAAAAAAATCTATGTGACAAAAACAGCAACCAATCAGAGGAGGAAAAATGCTGACACCTGATTGGTTCGGGGTGAAATGGTGGGAGGGTCAGGAATTGTGATGTCACGGTTTCACAGAGAATAAAAATGAGTCTTTGTCACGTTAACTGATGACATCAGAGCGGCTGGTGGGTGTGGCTCCATGCGCAGTAGTGACAAACACCCTCAACACGAGCCCCCTCCCAATTAGCCCCAAATTTAACCACTTACCATTAATGGGCACTTTACACACAGAAAGATAAAAGAGAAGAAGAAGAGAGAGGAGACACCAGATAAGCAACAACTTTAGCTTAGGCTTTAGCCTGGAATGAAGCTACTTTACTGCACACAGCTAGCATGAATCAACACTGCAGTAGCTCTATTTGAACTGATGATACCTAATGCTAACCTGGCTAACGTGGCTAACTGAGCTAACTGAGTTAGTGTTGGCATTAGCAGAGAGGACAGCAGTGAATTGATCTGACAGCTCACTGTTAGATGATCTCATCTAGCTGCACACGTGGAGCAGGCGCTAGCTAAATGGCTAACATGTATTTTAGGTTAAAAAAAGGCGGAGTCTGTTGGGATACAACGCAAGTCGATAAGCATGAGAAGTTTCTATGTTATTAGCTCAAAAGGTTTGTTTAAAGAGCTGAAATATGTCCTAACATAGCCCTGGACCTGGACCACATCCACCTGGTTCCATCTGGACCTGGAGCTACTTCTGGCCTAAAAAAAACATCCAGCTGTCAATCATTTCTGTCCTCACAAGGTGCTAACAGACCTGAGGTCAGAGACCCGCCAAGTCCTGAGCCTGACCCTAGCTGACCTGACCTGAGCACCATGAGGGCAGCAGGTATAAGACTGTCCACATCCACCATGTTGTCCTGGTTTAGGATTAGACCGGGTTTTAGACAGGACCCACAACTGTTCCCACAATATGCAAATGTTGGTTAGTTGGGACCAGACTCAGGACCAACTGGTTTCAGATGGTCCTTTTGGGCTCATGTCCACCTAACCTGTGTGGAGTCAACATGCACCTGTTGGCTGGAGTGGACCCACATCAGTTTTACTGACTTCCTGTTGAGGTTTTGAATGTTTTGTTGTTCAGAATTAATTTAATCCCAACCACGAGGGACAAAAGACTGCTCCTAACGATGGACTCACTTACAACAAAAACTTCAGTGTTTGTCTCTGAATCTGACTGAAATTAGAGTTTAATGAATGCTGAAAATGAATAATTCCATCAATCATTAAACTATATTATTAGTCTTTTAAAATCAGCATCATTTCATCATTAAATCAAACAAATCTGAGACTTTAAGATGCTGAAAGTTAAAATGTTCTACTGCCTCCTCTGTTAGTTTCTGTTGTTGTTTTTGTCTTTGTTTGTTTGTTTCCTCCCCAGTCCACGTGGGCGTGTTGTGTCCATGCAGAGGTCGGAGGTCACAGACAGACGTGACGTCAACACGACACGCAGGAATGTTGTGGATGCAGGGATGGAGTGAAGCCCACCGTCAGTTATAAAAGCAAACAAAACCAGGGTGAAAAACAAAACTAAACAACAAAAATACAATTATAATCAAACAAGAAATAGAAAATAAATGTTTTTGTCTTTCTAATACTTTCAAAAAATAAAACTACTCAGGACTACTCAAAAGTCCGAAAGTTTATAAAATCAAAGAAATATTTCAGATGTGAAAACTGTGAACAAAAATCTAAAAGATCTTCTGGAAACAAACAAAAAAAAAACTGCTGAAAAAGAAGCGAGCAGGGATGGATGGAAGCCAGAATATCCTTCATTTCTCTCTCCCGTCTTCACTTCCTGTCTGCCTTACACTTCCTGTCTGTCTGCCTTACACTTCCTGTCTGTCTTACACTTCCTGTCTGTCTGTCTTACACTTCCTGTCTGCCTTACACTTCCTGTCTGCCTTACACTTCCTGTCTGTCTGTCTTACACTTCCTGTCTGTCTGTCTTACACTTCCTGTCTGCCTGTCTTACACTTCCTGTCTGTCTTACACTTCCTGTCTGCCTTACACTTCCTGTCTGTCTGTCTTATACTTCCTGTCTGTCTGCCTTACACTTCCTGTCTGTCTGTCTTATACTTCCTGTCTGTCTACCTGCACAGTTAAAATGATCTGTTATACAAAGTAAAGAAAGAAAAAGAGTCTCACCCAGGATAGCTGTCGGTACGAAAGGATCTGCCATCAGGAGACACCAGAAGCAGAGAGAGACAAAAAACAGACAGATATTAAGAAGAAAAGAAAAGAAAAGAAAAGAAAAGAAAAGAAAAAGGCAGTCAGTCAACCACAGCTAAAGGTTAGCTGAAGACCTGCTGAATGTTGACCATTTGTCAGATGATTTGTGTGTGTTCCTGTCATGTGCTCAGGTGTAAATATGCTGTTATTATACTTTGATGTGATTGGCTCAGCTGTTTCACACCTGTCCTGGGTCTGTGACAGGAAGTAAAGGCTGACTTCAGGTGTATTACCTGGGTAGTAGGATTTGGGGACGGTGGTGCTGATGGTGTTTGTCTTCAGGGTGAAGGAGGACGGAGACGACACAGCTGCACAACAGACACACACACGTGTCAGTTAGAGATGGGATAAAKGGTTCTGGATCTCAGGGAAACATGTGTTTAATAGAGCCAGTCAAATGTAAGGGATGAGTTATTTATGCAAATAACTTATCTCACACTTCTCATAACTAAGCTATGAGAGAAAATTTTACCAAGGTTTCTTCTCATTACTTAATATT